AATTCAGTGGTTCAACATAATACCAACATGGGCCAGTGAAGTGACGTGCTCCACAACTAGACTGAAGAACAGAAGGACAGCTGTTTGTCTGTTCCCCCTCCCCAATTCCCCAATAAAATCTTTAAAATAAATAAATACATACATACATAAATAAGTAAATAAATTAAGTGGTTCAGTAGCCCACAGAGCAGTGTTCTCACTGAAGCTTTTATATGCCTTCCTTCCTGGCTCATTTGGCAAGTAAATTCTTTTAGAAAATTCTCCTTTAGGAGCGAGCCTCTCTTACTGGGAAAATGTTTCCTGGTTAGACCCCCTCCTTTTGCTCTTCCTCTCTCTCCTGTAGCTCTTAGTCTTATCAGGTATCTACTTAGGGCAAACATTTTAACCAGCTGCTGATGGTAAATCGTAGCTTTGAAAATCCACTCAGAAATTTAAGGCACTGAGAAGTATGAAGATTAAGGAGGTTTAGAAAACGCCTTTTGCTTTCTGTTAGTTACAGTGCATGTTTCCATTCCTTTCCCCTATTGGGATTAAGAAAAATTATGGTAACAAATATTTTACTTTCTTTGCTAGCAGCTCCCTATGAAATTATTTTTTTATTCTATTACATAATATAATTATTATATAACATTATAGTATTATTAGTTTAGTAGTATTCTGTAGATGGTTGTTTGGAACCAAATGCATTTTCAGAATTTGTTGACTATTCTCATAGGAAGACATGGTAGTTTTATGGATAATGGTGATGGCCCTGTGTGTCATGGAGGAGTCCAGATCACAGAGCTCAGAAACAGTTCCTCTTGGGGGGTGGGATGGGGTGCATGAGGTTGCATGATGGGAGGGTGAAACGCGCTGAGAGTTGTTGACAGTATGAACTTTAGCAGCCATAGTAATGCTGGATCCCAGTGGCATTTTTTGTGTCCTGTGAAATGTGTACTATCTTGGGAATGTTGCCACTTCTTGCCTGGGTGTTTTGTAGAGGTGTTAAAAAGGAAAACGCCCTCCTCCTGCCTTCTAGTTGAGATGCTCTTTGGGGAGCTAGTGTCTTGGTTAAACACATCAAATAAACAACTCTGGGAGCCTGGTGATAGGTCCTAAAAAAGCTCTCAGATGTTTGCATTATGTTTCTGTGACATATATTTGTGACAAAGAATTGAAAATACTCCTGAAGTATTTTCCTTTCTAAATAGTTGACTTAGCATAAAACTACCTGTTAGGTTCTGTGTTTTCATTTTTCTAATACAAGTAGCTCTAAAGCTCAAAAATAAAAGGAGGTACTGTTTTAAAGAATACTGCACCCCCCTCCCCCACTGTAATTCTTCTGTTTTAACGGGATTAGTGCTGTCAAATTACTAGAATGGACTTTCAGATTTTGCTGTTTGAATAGCTTAGTTGGCCACTGAGAAAACCAGTTCCCATCAGATTTTAAACTTTTAAACTAAAGACATTGCAAAGTCTTGGACATGCCCTGTCTTCTACTTTCTCTTTCTTTGTGGCCTTGCAGATCATTAAATTTAGTGACTCAGCTAATTTTTTTTACCCACCTCTTAGAAAAATTGACCGTGTTTGTGACCAAGCACTTAAGGTTATTTCCTTTAAACCAAGTGTTTGAGATGTTTTTAGATTTATAACAGTCTTTGTTTACCATGTAATTCAGTCCAATTGAGGAACTAGTAAAACTGCATTATCCAGACATCAAAGACAGACATGTAAAAAGAGCGTACTTATACCAGGAAACCTATTAGGTTTCTCACAAGTGGAAAGTTACCAGGTGTCCAAAAAGTAACCACTCCCCTGCCAGCTAATTTTGTTTTTTTTTGTAGCTTTTAAAATTTAGTCAGCAACATTCTAGGTTTAAACTATCAGTTGCTACATTCTTAAGAGTTGCTTTCTTTTCTTTAGCATTTGTCAGATAACTGACTCTGACTTGGAGGACTAAATAGAAAATCATGACATTGAAATTGTAACTAAACAAGGTGTTGAATGGATAATAAATACATTTTAGTTTAGTTCAAAATTGAGCCAATATCTTTATTTCTTGAAGTTTAAGAGCAGGTTGGGGTTTTGTTTTCCTGAAATTTCTATGAAGAGAGAGATTATTCGGCCCAGTTTATACAGAATAAGTGGGATGATTTGCCAGCTGCATGCATCAGCCTCTTGAAGTGCAGGATCTGTGTCACCAAGCAGTGTTTCAAAATTGGTCAAGTGGGTGGCCTTGATTCCTGCCAGACCCTGGGATGAGGGATTGATAGAGAAGGGCTGGCTCTGGTTAGGTTCCTGAAACCTTCATCAACATTCCTATCTGAGGCTCTGTTAAACCCGGTCTCCTCATGGGTCGAAACAAAACTGTGTATTATGTGCACTGCAAAGTAATGTGCAAAAGCACTTTGATTTTGTACAGTGTTTTTTTTTCAGGTATTTCAGAGAATGTGTATCAACATGCTTTAGATATTCATAAGCATCTTAGTTTACTTAGGTAAGCAATTCCCTAGGGAAGTGGGGGTGGGGGAGGTTGGTTTTGCCTCTTTCCCATGGATGCCTGCTTGTTCCTGCTGGCGTCTGGAACTTGGCCTCTTCAGGAGCGTGCCACTAGGTTATCTGGAGGCAGCTGCTCCCAGTCACTGAGATTTCTCTTCTGAAAATGGTCACACAATTTTTACATCTAGCCACATTTTGTTTCCATAGAGGGTTTGGCTTTCTGGGTTATCAAAGGAAGATATGGGAGTTTGGGAAAGGTATGTGAAGTTATCATAGCTGACAACTGTGCTCCCCTATTCAGTGCCCCCTTGTATCAGTCGGAATAACGTGTGGTGGTCTGACTTCCTGTGGCATTTCTTATGAGATAGGCCACCAAAACATTAAGATTGTGGAAATGCTAGGTTCCTACCAGGGGTAAATGAGATTCAGAAGAAAATTGCTCTGTTTGTTTTAAATCTCCTCTTTGGGAGTATCTCAGTAGACTCTTCATTTGGCTGCAGGTTGAGCAGTCGCACAGTCATATTTGCACATGTAAGTAGACGGCGGTGCAGTGTCAACAGTAGTAGCCGGAGGACCATTTCTGTAGAGGCAGCCAAAGACTACATATTTTACTTATTTCGGCTGGAAAGTTGCGAAAGACTTTGTAGACATCGTAACATTTCATTACTTCAGCTATTCAAACTTCAGGTCCTGTAAAGTGCCCCTTTTCAGCCACAGTCTGTGGTTCCCCATAACGTTTGGGAGAGAATCCAAACGCTTTGGAAGTGGCTTAATCTGGACCCTGCTTACTTGCTAAGCGTCTGTCTCGCCCATCTCCTCCCCACACTATTTCAGCTGGCTCCCCCATGGGCCATACTTTTCTCTGGGGAGAGAAGAGTCTTTGCACATTTCATTCCCTCTCCTTTAGGTCTCCCTTGAGCTGGAGCTTCCTTCAGAAAGGCTTCCCTAAACCTAAAAGGCTGGCTTTGGGGACTCTTTTAATATGCTGTAACAGTCATTTATTCACCTCTTCAGTAAATACTTGTGTCAAGCTCTGTGTCATAGGCTAAGGATGCAGAAGTGAACAAGACAGGAGTGGGCCTTATCTTCATAGAGCCCATGTTCTTTTCAGGGAAACAACCCCATATTCACACTCTTTAAAACCTTTTTATTTGGAAATAATTACAGACTTATAGACAGTTACAGAAATTAAAATACCACAAAGGAATATCTTATACTCTGCCCAGATTCACCTATTGTTATTTTTTCATGTGCATTCTCTCTCTCACTCTTTCTCTATATACACACACATACACATACACCTAATTTTTTTTTCTGAACCAGTCACATACATTATGGCCTTTCCCCCACCGCCAAAATACTTCTGAGTGTATTTCCTAAGAATGGGGCTATTCTCTCACATGATAGTTATCAACTTCATAAATTTACGTTAATAAACTACTTTTATCTAATATTCTGTTCATAGTCCAGGGTTGCTAATTGATCTAATAATGTGCTGTATAGCCTTCCCCCTCTTTCTCCCCTTACCCGCCTCCTGTGGTGCAGAATTCATTCTAGGGTCAGACAATTGCATTTAGTTATGATGTCTTTTTTTAGCCTCCCTTCAATTTGTATATTTACATAACCATTCTTTGTTAACTATGACATTGATATCTTTTGAAAAGTATGGTGTGCCCCCATCCCTTTTAAATAGAATCTGGCTCATTTTGTGTTTGTCTGATGTTTCCTTGTGATTAGGATGAGGCAATGCATTCTAGGCCATCAAACTGCCTAGTGATGTGTCATCCCGGGGATCACATCTGGAGGCCCATGATGTCCTTCTAGCCCTCTTTGGTGATTATAATTTCCATTATCCAAAATGTTACCCAATTTCTCCACTGTATAGTTAGTGGGTTTTTTATTTTTCCCTTTGTAACTAATAATTAGTCTATCGGAGGACACCTCAATTCTCTGCAGATACCCTGCTCCTTATCAAAATTTCCCTCCTAGATTTAGTGTCAAGTGATGATTTTTGTCTGATCCAGTGGTATAAATTCAAGTTTCTATTTTGTGCAATGGATTATAATTTATCATTATACTTAATAATTTTGGCACTCATATTATTCTAGATTTGTCCTGTGGGAGCCCCTTTGAACTGGCTCCAGTATCCTTGTGAGATACCCTATCATTTTTTCGAGCACTTCCTTTCTTGCACAACAAGATAGTCTAGGCTCATCTTGTACCAACCCTGCCCTTGACCCTGGAATCAGCCATTTCCCCAAGGAACCCTCAAATCCTTGTTTCAGCACTTAGCACACTGCCTACTTATGTGTCTTCCTCTATTATATGATACTGCGCCTGTCTGAGGGCACATCAATATCAGTGTTACTCACTCTTACATTGTCACCCAGCATTAGGCCTGGCACGTTTGCTGTTTAAGTACTTGTTGAGTAAGAAAATCGATTTTTGCTGTATAGTTCAGTGATTAAAATTGGGTTCCAAAATGATGATGCTGATGAGTTTTCTTTTTCTGCCCCATCTAGGAAGAAATGTTGGCAATTTGGCGATAGAAGTGGCGAAAACTGACCTCAAACTGGTATACACGCACTATGGGACCTGACACTTTCGCTGCATGGGCAGCCAGCCCTCACTGATAATGTCAGGAAGCCATTGGGTCCACTGGAAAACACTAATCTGATCTCGGAAGTGGCTGATTGTGGCAGGATGTGTCGACGATGATGATGGCAAGAAAGCAAGATGTCCGCATTCCCACCTACAACATCAGTGTGGTGGGATTGTCTGGGACCGAGAAGGAGAAAGGCCAGTGTGGCATTGGGAAGTCTTGTCTGTGCAACCGCTTCGTGCGCCCGAGTGCTGATGAGTTTCACTTGGACCATACCTCTGTCCTCAGCACCAGTGACTTTGGTGGACGAGTGGTCAATAATGACCACTTTCTCTACTGGGGAGAAGTTAGCCGATCCCTGGAGGATTGCGTGGAATGTAAGATGCACATCGTGGAGCAGACTGAATTCATTGATGATCAGACTTTTCAACCTCATCGAAGCACGGCCCTGCAGCCCTATATTAAGAGAGCTGCTGCCACCAAGCTCGCATCAGCTGAAAAACTCATGTACTTTTGCACTGACCAGCTGGGGCTGGAGCAGGACTTTGAGCAGAAACAAATGCCAGATGGAAAGCTGCTAATTGATGGTTTTCTTCTTGGTATTGACGTTAGCAGGGGCATGAACAGGAACTTTGATGACCAGCTCAAGTTTGTCTCCAATCTCTACAATCAGCTTGCGAAAACAAAAAAGCCCATAGTGGTGGTCCTGACTAAGTGTGATGAGGGCGTTGAGCGGTACATTCGAGATGCACATACTTTTGCCTTAAGCAAAAAGAACCTCCAAGTTGTGGAGACCTCTGCAAGATCCAACGTAAATGTGGACTTGGCTTTCAGCACCTTAGTGCAACTCATTGATAAAAGTCGGGGAAAGACGAAAATCATTCCTTACTTTGAAGCTCTTAAGCAGCAGAGTCAGCAGATAGCCACAGCAAAAGACAAGTATGAATGGCTGGTGAGCCGCATTGTGAAAAACCACAACGAGAACTGGCTAAGCGTCAACCGAAAGATGCAGGCCTCTCCCGAGTACCAGGACTATGTCTACCTGGAAGGGACTCAGAAAGCCAAGAAGCTGTTTCTCCAGCACATCCACCGCCTCAAGCACGAACATATCGAGCGCAGAAGGAAGCTGTACCTAGCAGCCCTGCCGTTAGCCTTTGAAGCGCTCATACCCAATCTAGATGAAATAGACCACCTCAGCTGTATAAAAGCCAAAAAGCTCTTGGAGACCAAGCCCGAATTCTTGAAGTGGTTTGTTGTGCTTGAGGAGACCCCATGGGATGCCACCAGCCACATTGACAACATGGACAACGAGCGGATTCCTTTTGACGTAATGGATACCGCCCCCGCAGACCAGCTGTACGAGACCCACTTAGAGAAGCTGCGGAACGAGAGGAAAAGAGCTGAGATGAGAAGGGCGTTTAAAGAAAACCTGGAGACCTCTCCTTTCATAACTCCTGGAAAGCCTTGGGAAGAGGCCCGCAGTTTTATCATGAACGAAGATTTCTACCAGTGGCTGGAAGAAGCAGTATACATGGATATCTATGGCAAACACCAAAAGCAAATTATAGACAGAGCAAAAGAAGAGTTTCAGGAGCTCCTTTTGGAATATTCAGAATTGTTTTATGAGCTGGAGCTGGATGCTAAGCCCAGCAAGGAGAAGATGGGTGTCATTCAGGATGTTCTGGGAGAAGAACAGCGATTTAAGGCATTGCAGAAGCTCCAGGCGGAGCGTGACGCCCTCATTCTGAAGCACATCCACTTTGTGTACCACCCAACCAAGGAAACGTGCCCCAGCTGTCCGGCCTGTGTGGATGCTAAGATTGAGCACTTGGTTAGCTCTCGGTTTATCCGACCATCTGACCGGAATCAGAAAAATTCACTCTCTGATCCCAACATTGATAGAATCAACTTGGTTATCTTGGGCAAAGATGGCCTTGCCCGAGAGTTGGCCAATGAGATCCGAGCTCTGTGTACAAATGATGACAAGTATGTGATAGATGGTAAAATGTACGAGCTTTCCCTGAGGCCGATAGAAGGGAATGTCAGACTTCCTGTGAACTCTTTCCAAACACCAACATTTCAGCCCCACGGATGTCTCTGCCTTTACAACTCAAAGGAATCTCTGTGCTACGTGGTGGAGAGTATAGAGAAGAGTCGAGAGTCCACACTTGGCAGGCGAGACAATCATTTAGTCCATCTCCCCCTGACGTTAATTTTAGTTAACAAGAGAGGAGACACCAGTGGAGAGACTCTGCACAGCTTAATACAACAAGGCCAGCAGATCGCTAGCAAACTTCAGTGTGTCTTTCTGGACCCTGCTTCTGCTGGCATCGGTTATGGACGCAACATTAACGAAAAGCAAATCAGTCAAGTTTTGAAAGGACTCCTAGACTCTAAGCGTAACTTAAACTTGGTCAGTTCCACTGCCAGCATCAAAGATCTGGCTGATGTTGACCTGCGAATTGTCATGTGTCTGATGTGTGGAGATCCTTTTTGTGTAGACGACATACTCTTTCCTGTCCTACAGTCTCCAGCCTGTAAATCTTCCCACTGTGGAAGCAACAACTCTGTTTTACTTGAACTACCAATCGGACTACACAGGAAGCGCATTGAACTATCTATTCTTTCATACCATTCCTCGTTTAGCATCAGAAAAAGCCGGTTGGTCCATGGGTACATTGTTTTTTATTCAGCCAAACGTAAGGCCTCCTTGGCCATGTTACGTGCCTTTCTTTGTGAAGTGCAGGATATCATCCCCATTCAGCTGGTCGCACTCACTGACGGCGCTATAGATGTCCTAGACAATGACCTCAGTCGGGAGCAGCTGACCGAGGGGGAGGAGATTGCTCAAGAAATCGATGGCAGGTTCACAAGCATCCCCAGTAGCCAACCCCAGCATAAACTTGAGATCTTCCACCCGTTTTTTAAAGATGTGGTGGAGAAAAAGAACATTATTGAGGCCACTCACATGTACGATAATGCTGCTGAGGCCTGTAGCACCACTGAGGAGGTGTTTAACTCCCCCCGGGCGGGCTCTCCGCTGTGCAACTCAAATCTGCAGGATTCAGAAGAGGATATCGAGCCCCCTTCTTACAGCCTGTTTCGAGAAGACACGTCACTGCCCTCTCTGTCCAAAGACCATTCTAAGCTCTCTATGGAACTGGAGGGAAATGATGGGCTGTCTTTCATCATGAGCAATTTTGAGAGTAAACTGAACAACAAAGTACCTCCGCCAGTCAAACCAAAGCCTCCTGTCCATTTTGAAATTACAAAGGGGGATCTGTCTTACTTAGACCAAGGCCATAGAGATGGACAGAGGAAGTCTGTGTCTTCTAGCACCTGGCTACCTCCGGATGGGTTCGATCCTTCTGATTACGCCGAACCCATGGATGCTGTGGTCAAGCCAAGGAACGAAGAAGAAAACATATATTCAGTGCCCCATGACAGCACCCAAGGCAAGATCATCACCATTCGGAATATCAACAAAGCCCAGTCCAACGGCAGTGGGAATGGTTCTGACAGTGAAATGGACACCAGCTCTCTAGAGCGAGGCCGCAAGGTATCCATCGTGAGCAAGCCAGTGCTGTACAGGACGAGATGCAGCCGGCTGGGGAGGTTCGCCAGTTACCGAACCAGCTTCAGCGTGGGGAGCGATGATGAGCTGGGGCCCATCCGGAAGAAAGAGGAGGATCAGGCATCCCAAGGTTACAAAGGGGACAATGCTGTCATTCCGTATGAAACAGACGAAGACCCGAGGAGGAGGAATATCCTTCGCAGTCTAAGAAGGAACACTAAGGTGAGACGCCAGTTTAGGAATGAGTCATAGGAGTGGCTTGCAGTGTCTCGGTAAGAGTTGATTGATGATGATGATTTTCAAGGACAACTTATTCTGGTAAAAAAACTGTGTGTGTGCGTGCGTGTGTGTGGTGTGTTTACTGTTTGTTTGACTTAGCGTAAAAAAGTAAGTAGTGTTTCTGATAGCTGCTACGGGTGGTTCTCAAGTAGTAAGGACCTTGGATCGACAGCCTGAGTTGTCTTTGTCCAAAACAATAATTAATTACCAAAATGAGCAGATAGTGTTGAACTTGTCAGTGTCCTGACAAGTAGCCAAGCCAGGGACGATAGGCTTGCTCTTCCTCCACTCAAACACTGGAATCCAAAATTGCATGCCTCAGTCTCTTACTGCTAAACAAAAGTTCATCTGTACATTTCTTCCGTGCTTCTCTTTCCCTGCTGATCTATAGAGGTTGCTGCATTTTAGATTAGGAAAAAATTGGATGAGTGTTTGCACACATAAATTAGTTGAAGGGTCTTCAAGTACATAAATGAAAAATAAGGATCTTGCCACTGCAAGTTACAAACCTGTCCCATATTTGTAGAATTGGAGCGCTGGGGGTTGTTTTTTTTTTTTTTTTAAAGTGAGTTGCGACTGCTGTCAGTGAGCTTCAGATTTGATTTAGGGACCACAGGTGTGCTGGGAGGGGAAGAGAAAGAAAAGTAAATCGTGTGTATTGTGAATATCGGATCTGCTGTCAGATGTGGAGGGAGAGTCCCCAGCGCAGTGCAGGCGAAGTCTCTGTCTTGTGTAGAATTGCATGTGCAGGGAGGGCACCTGGGCTTAGGCTTTGAGATGGAAAAGTATTTCCCAAACTCTTCCTTTCCCCGCATTTCCAGTAGAGGGAAACCCTTGTTTCTCAGAGAAAGACAGCTTGGTGAAGCACCACAACAGAGCTGTGTTACATGTCAGCCTCGACCCACATGATACACAGATGATATCTCTGCATTTAAGGCTTTTGCTCCTCTGCTTACCACGACATGGCAGGAAAGAAAGGTTGCCAGAAACTTAAGTTATTATAAGACATACTGAATCGGAAGGATCTAGAGTCCCAGTTGTTTTGAGAGCTGACAAATTCTGTTGTGAAATATCACCTGGAGGCCAGTTCCACAGCTTTCACTGGTTAAGAGGGCCCTTGGATGTGGAGGAGCATGGTGCCATGGCTCTCCCCAGGAAAACATGGCCCTCCCCAGGAAAACGGATTCACTTTGTGTTCACTGACAGCATATAGAGGGCTCCTCAATCACCATGGGCTGGAGCTTCCAGAATTTTCCTATGTATGCAGTTGTCAGAAAGAGCAGGGCAGTATCATTGTGTTCTGTTCCCCTCCCCCACTGAGCTGACTATTAATAAATATCCAAGCCATTCTTCTTCTGTCTGATTCCCCCTCAGTTTGTTTTTCTACTTGGATTCCTTTATCTGTCTGCCTTCAGTAGTTTGTTCTCCAAAGGTTGGTTGTGGGCAGCCCCATCCAAATCATGAAGCCAGAAAGTAGCCTGACCTGCCTCCCAATATTTTCCCAAAGCTCTCCTATTTAATGATACTGGGATCCAAACATTTTGAATATTTTTTACTTTCTTCTCTTCCTCCTCCACTCCCAATGAAGACTGTTGGCAGAATAGCTTATCTAAATGCTGACAGTCTTCTAATTGTGGGGGTGTTTGCACACCTGGGAATTAGGAAGGTGGCATAATAGCACACTGTGAATTATAACTGTTTTTCTGACTTCTACATTTTTAATACTTGTTGAAGATAATGCCTTTAAAACACATTCCCAAACAAGCCATGCTTTAAAGAGCACACTGTGTAGGCCCTGCAGAAAACACTGGCTATGGTGAGCCCCTGAGATAGGTGCGTCCGTGCTGGTTAATGAGCATTTCTTACCTAGAACTTCCTTACGCTGGGTCCCTGGGTCAGCATGCAAGAAGTGATCGACTTCCTGTCTGTCTTATTTCTGTGGGCCACACCTCTTCAAGGCACATAAAAAAACGATACCTCTGTCCCAAGAGCAATAGCGTGCCAGTAGTCAGTTTAGGAGTATCCTTAGGAAAGAGTGAGTAAAAGGTGAAATTGTCTTTTCCTGCCGTGGAAATGGTGCTTTGAAATGAGTGTGGCTGCTTTGTCATCTTAATGTAGAGATAAGCAAAGCCTTGATTCTCTTCCTGGTGGCGCAAACCTCCTATTAAAATTGCTGCCATTAAACCAGACTGACACTTGTTTTACTGGAAAAGCAAGATACTGTGGGCCAGAGAATGCCAAGCCAGCCCCTACATGGGGGATTTGGCTTTCGATTTTTATTGGCATGACAAAGCAATAAGTATTTATTTGAAGTGAGGGGGAGCCAGCAGGTAATGGAAAACACACTTAGTGCCTCCTGCTTGCCAGACACCACTGGGGAAATGGCACAGATCCTTCTTGCACAGACCTAAGTGCCCAGTTGAGGCAGCAAAACCTACGCAGCTTCTGAAAATGAAAATGTAATAGGTGGTCTGGGGGGTGGGATGTGTTGGGGCAGAGTGGAAATCCCATATTGGGGGTGTTTAAGGTAATGTAGTATGCAGATTGGGAGCTCAGGTTCTGGGAATGGGCGGGGTGGGGGGTGGCTAAAGTCACATCCCAACTCCTCTACTTCCTCACTGGGTCTTTGGGCATGTGCTTCTCCTCCCTTCTGCAAAAGGGGAGAATGGTTGTGGGAAATGGAATGAGATTATGCACAGAAAACATTGAGCATACTGCATGCTGGATAAGCGTTAGTTATTGTTATTTAACTAGACCTTGAAGAGTGAGGTAAGGAAAGGCTGGAAGGTGAAAATATGCATGTTGTATTGAGGAAAGGAGAAAACTGGTCTGGTCTAGCCACCTCTCTTTTGTGTAAGTTTTAACCATATGTGTTACACAGCTGCTTTCTCAGCATTTACCCTAGCAACCGCCCCAACAACAAAAAAGCCATGCTCTGGGTACCGATGTGATGTGGAGAAAGAAATTGCTCAGCGCCCTTGGCTAATTTGCTAGATTACCTCTTTACTGTGAAATTGGACTTGGGGTGAGGAACTCGCTTTCATTTCTCCTAATGAAAGTGGAGGCTGCAGAGCTGACTCGCATTCTGGGTCCTTTTCCCAGCTGAGCCATTTAGCAACCCACCCTCATAGTGGGAGCCTTCCGCACTCAGCTGAATGAAATTGAAAATGTACGATTGCACTTCAGTAGGGTCCGTGAATAGATGCTTTGTCTGTAAAGCGTTGTTGTTGCACATGGTCTCTGTCTCCCAGTGCAATGCGCTTGCACAGAGGAGATCAGGACGGGCGGGCTCTTATTTTAAAGCCAAAAAACAGGCCCGGGTGCCTTGCTCCACAAAATGTGCCTTTTGGGCAAGCTCAAATTGTTGAATTTAGTGTGTTTGACCATGAATTAAAGAGAAGCCATTATTGGCTTTTTACCCTTCTATCTGATGTGCTCTTATTTTTTTTTTGTGTGTGTGTGTGTGTGTGTGTGTGTGTGTGTGTGTAGATAGCTAGATAGATAGATAGATAGACAAAACCGGATGATAAAGAAAATCTTTCACTCACTGTAGCTACCACATGACAAGACAACCTATTGAAAAGCAAACCAATTCAATCACGCATTGTTTGGTCTATAAGGCACCAAGTAACCAGTTTGACAGTTTGTGTGTCCCCCCACCAGCAGTGAATTGGCTTATTTCATTGGATTCAGTGAATTGGCCGGTTGTTGGGCTTTGTGTGGACACAGCTCTCATTTTGTGAAGCCTAGAACGGAGTTAAAGTTTCTAGTGTGAATAAAAACCAGCTGGGGAATTGGGCTGCTCGCCCCCCAGGGAGGGATGTTGCATTTTGACAGACAAGCTGAATGGTATGAAATCTGAGCTCTTTGTAACCTGCACAGGAAAGACTCAGTGTGTGCTCCCAAAAGGCTAGTCCTACTCACTGAGCTGTGAAGCCAGATGAATACCTGGCTCTTAAAAATGGGGTGGGGGCTCTGACTTGACCTTGGATTTTCTGATTCTTGAAATAATTTTATCTTTTCAAAGAACTACTTTTGCTCCAAGGCACACACACATTTATTCTTTTAGGAAGGAAACAATTCAGCGCATGGGTGTTTAGTGAGCACTCGTCTTCATCTAGTTCAGTCACAGGGATGGTAGATTTTCAACATGTATTTACATGCATTTTGAATGTTACCAGCGGGGAGGTACAGGATACTATGGAATGGGTAGAGCAAGGAGTTTTACCTCAACTTGGGTATCCGGGAGCGCTCCCCAAAGAAATGATACCGTGTTTCCCCGAAAATAAGACCTGGCCGGAGAAGAAGCCCGAACATGATTCCTCCAGGATATGGAGGGCACACACTCCTCACATGTGGGTTTTATGACCTGTTTCAGGGAGAAGGGTGCCTTTTCCACAAACTCCTTCAGCTTAAAATATTCAGTATTTTAAGGTGCCATATTTTGGCACCTAAAATCATGCGAAGGCTTATTTTCTGGCTCGATCTTATTTTCAAGGAAACAGGTTATATAAAGCTGAGACTTAAAAGGTGAAGCAGGCAAAGTCAGTGAAGATGGAGGCTTCATCCGGAGAGCTTTTGAGAAAACAGTATGGCAATTGGAGCAGAAAAAACACGGCATGTTCAAAGAGTTGAGAGAAACCTAGAGTTGGCTACTGCAGAGGGTGAGGAAGAACCAGGCAGAATAAACAGGGCTGCAACACCATGAGGAGGATTTTGTACTGCGTTACCTTTCCAGTACCTACTGTGTGCCAGGTACAGTAACAGGCATTTTTACATCAGTTTTTCATCTGTTTCTCTTCTCAGTCTTTTTTTTTTTTTAAGATTTTATTGGGGAATTGGGGGAGGGGAACAGTGTTGGAGAATTGGGGAAGCGGACCAGCCAAGTTGTTCTTCAATCTTCATTGTGGAGGGCGCCAGTCGCCATCTGGCTGCCCGTCGGC